CATAAAACGTTTACGCTTTCATTATTTAGCGACGACGGATTTTGATGTTGTTTGCCTCTTCCGACCGTCCATTTGTTTTACTGATGGTAACTAGTATTCCCTTTTGCTTTTCCTGTGAGTTATGCGGTTTTTCGTTTCGTGATTCGTTAATCGACTTCCTGTTCCCTTTAGCTCAAAGAATAAACGTTGGGTTCGACAAAGTTTACTTCTGAAGACTCGTTATCCGTGGTTGTTCTTACTGGTACTTGTTGCTACCAATAACTGAATTCGGCTGTTCAGATCCGTTCCGAAATGACAGCAACGTTTGAAAAGGTGAGCGCGATTCGAAATCCAGGACAACGCGCATATGTGCGCAGCAAGTAAGGCAGGAATACAAAAGAACAAAGACGGGCATCACAGGTATCTTGAGTACATGGTGAAGATAAATAACGTGTACGAATTTTACTAGCACCCCTCAAACGAACGGAGAATCGTCGGATCACTACAAATCGCGTTTTGTTTGATAATATTGAACTGCTTAGTGAATTTGGTAGTAAAGTCAAGGCATCCCACCCTTTGACTGGAATGACTCCGGTGCCGTTCCGACTCCTGTTCACATCGCACGTATGATAGATCCTTGAACACGGGCTTTCCACCTTCCATCTCACCAAGTTCGAATGTAACCAGACTGAGAGAGTCCAACGGCGCGGTTCTAAATCTGTTTTGCAGTTTCGTAACTTATTTATCCCCTTCGACTGCAAAAATTGAATCCCTTCTCTCTGGATTACCGTCGCTGCTATGGAGATTTAATTTTTCGCTCGAGGTACATTTAGAGGAGAGCTTGGGGGAGGGCTGCAAAGTTTTTTCTTCTCAGCGCTATAATTTCGACTAGAGGTCATAAATGGATATTATTCAAACCGAGGAGGCTTTCAGTGCAGACTATTGTTGCTCTATCAACCCATGTAGTGAATGACCGGAACCGCTTGCCGGAGCTCGTCGTTGATGCGCAAATGTAGGAACGTATAAAAACAATGTTGGATCCTTAGCTTCTGAGTATGCCGGTAGCTTGCTGCTTCCACTGCGACTTCCACGGCTTTATGCAGATCGACGTTTCTGGATAAACAAATTATATCTGCTATGAATGGGAAGTGATGGAGCTGACAAAAGATCCCCTTTTTGCTCTTTATTATCCAACGATCCAACGAATGCTAGGTTTATTAACAAACAACACAATTTTCTAAAGCATGGTACGACCAGTGTTACTGTGTGTATGGATGAACTGGTTACCATAAATAAAAACCTATAAATCATCATTACCTGCTGCCGTGTACAAGATCACTCAAATTTATAAAGGACATGCATTAAACAACTGTTATTTAAGAGAAATTGGTGCGATTACCAACGAATTAAATGTTCTCACTGAAAGGCCAATACGTCCTTGAAATCATTGGAATCATTAGAACAATTGGAATACTGAAAGCAGAAGGAAAGAACCTTGTCAGCTCCATCAACTCCCAATCACGGTAGGTGCTGCGCAACAACAATTAACAAGTTAGGTTGTCACAGTTGCATAAGAACTAAGAAGATCCCCACCACTTCAAAAGTATAAATTCAGCAATCGTTTAAAACATTCCTCAGTGGGCGGGTTGACGACGCAATCAGGTAAGGAGTTCCAGTCGTTCATCACACGAGTCAATATGGTTAAATCAGAACAAAGCCTGAGGCTCCTAGGTTTAAACAGTTTCCAGTAATGGCACCGAGTCAAACACTCAGTGTTAATCTGGAAGAAACCTTTGAGCTCGATTCCCATCTCGCCGCGCAGAACTCGCCGAGGGTAGATCAGATCTCCTCGGCGACGCCGATATGCCAGAGAGAACATATTCAAGTGCTGGAGACGAATGTGATATGACAGGTGTCGTAGATCAAAAGTGCACTTAGAACCGCGCTGCTGAACTTCCTCAATCAAGCCATGTTCAAACTTTGTAAGTGGATGAACTGCGGGTACTCCATATTCGTGGACTGAACGCACATGGGAGGCAAAGACAAATCTGAAAATCTTAGGAGTCAATTGTACAAAGGCCTTTCGGATATAGCACAAAGGTCAGTTATCCGCGGAAACCCTCCTCGAAATATCCTTGCTTGTTTTTAGATCAGACGATACAATAACCCCAAGGTCTCTATCACGTTTCACATTATTAAGCAAATAACCACCAAGGTGGTAAACACCGAATGGTTCAGTAGCATCAATGAGAAGTACAGAACATTTATAGTGATTTATAGTCACTTGGCATTTAATTGACTAATGATATAGCAGATCAAGTGTATTTTGGTATCCAACAGTATTCTCAGCGCTGGATACCTCCATCCGTAACTTCAAATCGTCAGCATAAATCAAACATTCGGTCCAAAAGTTTGAAGAGAGGACGTTAATAAAGAAGTTGAACAACTCTGATCCAAGAACAGGCCCTAAGGAATGAAACTGCCTATAAGGACGGGGACTGAATACGTATCACCGACATTGACTCGCATAACCCGGTCTGTAAGAAAAGCAGAGGTCCAGGAGAGAAACCTTCCGGAGACACAAATAAGTTGAGGTTTGAACAAAAGCCGCTGATGAGGAACATTTTCATCCGCTTTTCTGACATCAACGTAGATGAAGTCCATACGCTATCCCGCATCCAGCGAGCACCCCATTTCTCTCTAATGACAAACAAATTGGTGGTACATGAGTATGACTACGGAAGTCATACCGAGCAGTAGGAATCACACTCCGGTGGTCGAAGTAAAGTCTGAGACTGCTCTTGAGAATCAGTTCCATAATTTTACATACTACTGTTCTTAGGCGAACGGAACGATAGCATGCTGGGTCTGGGCCAGTACTTTCTCTATATATGAGCTTGACAATGCCCAGTCTTCAGGCAAATAGAAGGTGTGCGGATTCAATAAAGCAGCGAAACACATGACAAGCATAGGTTGCAAGGTACTTAAACACGGTCTTGAGAAAAAGAGAGTGCAGGCAATCAAGACAGGGAGAGGGGTTCGGATCTAACTAGAGAAGGAACTGAGTAACAGTTTCCGTAATGATCTCAAGACGATCCAGCAAAGTTGATCACTAGAGTACAAAGTCAGAAAACGACGCCCACTTGTTCAAACGGTTCAACACCGCTAAGCTAAAAGATTCGCTGTCGCAGCAACGAAATAAAGAAAGGCAGCCGGTTTATTGGAATGCAAAGATGGAATGCACATATCTACTTTCCAAACCTATTCAGATATGAAAATATTTTAAGGAGCACTTGGATTGCACAGCCAATCGTAACTCAAAGTTTTGGCAATTCTCCCGCTGCTTCAGAATACAAAAGTCTTAAGCATTTTGTATTCCAATAGTCTACTGTCGATTGTGTAACTGGAATCGGTCCCATAATTTGCGTCTCTTATTCATTAGAGACCGCAACTGTTTGTCGATCCAAAGATGCCCACTTGTTAGACCTCGTCTTCACAAATGGGAACAGCTTGGTTGTTTAATAAAGCCATGTTGAAGTACAAAAGAGTCCAAGCATCGTCAACACTCAAAAAATGTGGAATGATCCAGTCCAGGCTAGAAATAGCCTTTTGCAAACACTGCGGATCGACTCGCCCGTAATTACGCCGGAAATCACCTTGGTCATGAATGGAAACTCGACGTGCCCATGGGAAGAAAAGCGCACAATGATCACTCTTATCAATAGGTTATATAATAACCAGGTCGAAGACATCTAAGGGCATCGGGGAGAACACTAGTTCAAGAACGTGCGGCGTGTGGACTGAGAACAACGAAGTGGGTAAAAATACATGCTGAAATAAGTTACAATCGAGAATAGTCTGAAGTAGAAGAGCATCAAAAGCGTCAGAAGGAAGACCACAATAAGGTAGGTCCCACTTAAAGCCAAGTGCATTGAAGTCTCCAACAATTAAGCAGTCCTTAACGGCGTCCGATTTCATTGAATCCAGCAAAAGAGCTCCTGAACTCAAATGTGATCCATAGGCGATACAGATCAGGAGATTTACACTCGTCATGAATACGACACCACAGAGCTTCAAAACCTCCAGAAATACCACAAGTAGCATAGAGTAAGCATGCCATGAGGTCCGCCCTCCAATAGACTATAACGCCGCCACCTGACCTCGCTCAGTGGCGATCAGCCCGGGAGAAGTGATATCCAGGAATATATATCTCCGAATCACGGATATCCGGGAATAGCCACGTCTAAGAGAAAGCCATCAAGTCAGGGTGACTATTGATGGTAAGATTTTGAACTTAGTTCAATTTGTTCCGCAAACTGCGCACATTAGCGGACAACACAGGCAAATTGTTATTCGACCTTACTGTCCGGGTAGGACAAGGATGGGTCTCCAGCGAGATCTTGGGGTTTTCCGAACCATTAGAAAATCCACAATGTTAAGGTCCGTCTCACCATTTGCCCTGCGGGTTAGAAGTTCATCAACTGCACTCTTCATTTTTAGTCGATCTTCAGAGGACAGAACTCTCAGAACAAAAAACGATTCTCCTTTAAGACTGGAAGTGCGTCGGGGATGCGCCTGCATACATCTTCATTTTCGCGTACGAGCTTGAGACTGAAAGACTATCAATAGAACATTACATCAAATGATGTCTCGAAACACCAAGTAAATATTTCAAGGTATCTACAGAATTTTAGCATTGCAATGCCATGTACCCAAAGAGTTGTTAGTCCGTGCTTCTTAATCATAATGGTGCGATGGTATGATACAAATAATCCGCTAATTTAGTTTTTAACTACTTTTTGGTTTATGTTATCCATTGGCAAGAAAGCTAATATTATGACTGCGGAATTGTAGGTTATGCCTAGGTATATGTGGCATAAGCGAAATATACACACCATATTTCTTACATAACTACGAAAAACGTATGACCAGCAATTAAAGGTTTCGGTATCATTTGAGTAAACCGTTGGAGGAGTAATCAGCATTTCATGGCATTCTGTAAGGAAAACACAAAAATTTACCTTTTGCAATCTGACAAAATATTGCGACAGCGACAACAAGTCAACATTTTAAATTACCACAAGTTAAATCAGTTCACATGACCTTACCATTAAGTATAACCAAACAAATACCAATTATATAGGTAAATTGCCGACATATATGGTCCAGTATTTTTGCAAAAATTATGTTAACAATAGAACAGACATGAAATTTCGCGAATAAAGTCAACTTTCATAGCACGTGGTGTGCAGTCATCAAGGAGTGGAGAATTGTATGCGTCGCGAAAGTTATGGGGACAATCAGTCGTAAGGTCTGTTGAGCCCCTTTTCAGTTGTGACATAAAAGCATTTTTAGTACCAAGGCAAACATTGATTGTTTGAAGTGGTATGTATGGGGAACAGTGACGACTATCACGGTGGCGCAGATAAACCACGGGTTATCGCATGCACAACTCAAGTCAAATCAACTCCAGTCCGCTTCCAAGGACGATACAGGATTTCGCCTAACGAGGGGCTATCACGCAGTACGGGGTTACAAGGACATGATGCAGTAGAATTATTATAATGCTGGAAAAGTTAAGACCAACACATATCTAGGCCTCTTTTGAACGCATCCACGGTTTTGCATTCTATTAGTGCTGGAGGTGGCTTATACCAATACTGACTAGGCAATTCACAAATTATGTCACCCTAGTATCCAGCCTAGATCTCTGATGCTTACGCTTCAGTTGGTATCATCGCAAGTGACCTGAACCGGCTAACTCAAACAGTGCAGTATACCGGATACCACTAAAACCCTTAATACTTTTAAGCGTCGCTATTAGGTCCCTGCTTAGTCTGCTCCGTTCCATTGAATACAGACCGAAGCTCCTTAAGCACCTAGACCCTCAAACATCTTAGCCACCAGTTTTTGTGACTTTTCTATAAAGGCCACATTTTCCGGTGGTATGACGTCCAAGCCTGTACACAGCATTCTAGATGAGGTGTTAACATCGAATTGTATAAGAGAGCAATAAACTCAGCTCTAGTGCTGCATAAAGAACTTTGAGGCGAAACAACACCTTACGCGCTTTGTTGGTAGCATGTTTACATTGTGCTAAAGGTTTGAAGTCGTTCGCCACAATGATACTTAATTCTCGGCTAGTGAGTGCAACCTTAGCTAGTCTTGGAAACGCTGATGTACCTATCATGTGGAGTATTGAGGGTCTGTGAAACTCCTCTTGTGCGAACAGCTTGACGATCTCACCTCTTTTGAGCACGTGTGCTGTTACAGACGACTAGTCGAACAGTGCTTTTGACCGTTCATAATAAGGGCAAGTTACAGGCTCCTGTGTCTGTGAAAAATAAGCAAAGGAAACGTAAGCAGGCAGTGCCTCCGCTGAAAATGCAAGCGAAGGGGACGCAGCGTGTACGGCAAGTCGCTTGAGCACCTCACCGCCGGAACTGGATAATATAGTCCTTCCACAAGCTCCGTCTTGTACAGCCATCAATTCTACACCTACGCTTAGGTCCCCATCAAGCAGCGCTGTAACACGCAATGTAAACACCGCACGTTGTGGCGACTTACATACGGACCGTAACGTAGTCTTTAGAATAGTATGTAGTGACCTGGAGCTTCCCTCGTTTG